CATGAGCAGAGGATGGGAACCCAGGCGCGAGAACCTCCTGACGGAGCCAACTTGATGAGAGGTCCAAGCCTCCCCATACCACAACCCCAAGGGAGCAAGCCAGCCAACGCCAGTGAACCTGGGACGCAGGCAGACTGGCCCCAGATCAGCAGCCAACCTCACCACCAAAAGACAGGGTGCAGGAAACAGGGGTGAAGGCCACTTTTAACAGTTGTTAGTGTCAAAGGTAGGCCTTTTGGGTCCATGTGTTGGTGCACGTCACAGTACGAGTAAATAGTCAGTAGGACTGTGTGAAATCTAGACTAAACCACTACTGATGAGGGAACAGATGCGACATGAGAATGTGGCAGCTGGTTAACTCATCCAACCAACTTTGGCCCATGTGGCACATGTTCCATCCCTCCCCATGACCCTATGTGTAAAAGTGACTGATAATCAGAGGAGGTTGAGGAGGATAAGGCATGGGATCTCTAAGACCAGTTGACTACCCTTGAAGGAGAAAGCCACTTCTGCTGGCTCAGTAAGCACTTCTGTTTCCTCTATGACACTGCAGGGCAACAAAAAGTGAACCAGGGGCCCGTGCAAATGGCGCAGCCTACCACCGCTGCACCAAAGGCTGGCACACTGCTGACGCCACTATAAAGAGTATTCTAACATGTGCAGACATGCCCCAAATCTGGGGGCCCATCTGCACATGGAGCCAGTAACCCGCTCAATCAACAAGGACAAGAAGGGTCAAACTGAGTCTGAACGTAGCCACTGCTCCTACCCACCCAAACTGTGTCAACCACTCCAGAATGCCAGAACATTCGGCCACTTGCTCTGGAACCAACAAGTACCAGCATACCAGGGAGGGGCATCAACATCAAGCAGGGAAAAGTAGGGAGGGGTAACCTCACCCTCCATGACCTTGTCCCACAAAGGCTCAGCAAGCCCCAGACCCAGACATTGACACACACACAGACACCCAGGGAACCCTCTTTTGATGATAATGTTGAGTCTCTTGTAAATTCTTTTAATGAACATTGCCTTTCTATTATGGATTAGGTTGCTCCTTACAAAATTAGATATAGTTCTGTTGTCTGTCTCTCTCATCCTTATTAAATAGTGATCCTCATGGTTAGCAGAAGACAGAAAGACTGTAGAAAACCATGGTGTGACTGTCTATAAAGAATATTTTAAAGAACTTCTTTTTTCTTACAATATGGCACTGAAAGAGGCAAGAGCCTCATTAAAAATCATAAAAATAATCCCAGGGTGTTATTTGACACCATTAATAGCATTATATCCTCCCCTCCTCCACATGCATTGATAGCCTCTGACGATGACTTTAATGTATTTCTCCATGATTTTGTAAATAGGGTGATGGACTTAAGCTTGAAATTCTCCTTAGGTTCCTTGCCTAATGGGGATTGCCCTCAGTGCTTTGATTCATTTACCTCATTCTGTTCAATTACACTAAGTCACTAAGTTAGAATAATGGTTAAGCTGAAACCTTCATCACCCTCTTTAGGGATCTTGCATCCCTCTGTTCTTTCTGGGTCCTTCATTGCTTTCTATCATTAACAGCTCAATGAAGCGAGGTTGTGTTCCATCTTACTTTAAGCATGCTGAGGTCCTTCCATTACTTAAAAAACCTAGTCTTGATGCCAGGTCTCCTAGTAATTACCGGCTTATTTCAAAATTACCATTTATTAGCAAATTATTAGATAAAGTTGTCAAATCAATTTATTTATTTATTATGCAAACTACAAATTTCTGACCCTTTTCAGTCCGGTTTTCAAAAGCAGCACTCCACTGAAACTGTTCTTTTAAAGGTCTGTAATCTTTTTGCTTTGTGCTTGTGTTGCTTGACCACAGTGCTGCCTTTGATACTGACCATAATATTTAATTACTAGGCTGAAGGTTTTGGTTGGTAACTCTCGCTCACCACTAGATTGGTTTTAATAATAATGGATTGGATTTATATAGCGCTTTTCAAGGCACCCAAAGCGCTTTACAATGCCACTATTCATTCACTCTCACATTCACACACTGGTGGAGGCAAGCTACGGTTGTAGCCACAGCTGCCCTGGGGCAGACTGACAGAAGCGAGGCTGCCATATCTCTCACTGCTGGTTTAACCTGTGGCATTCCTCAAGGTTCCATCTTGGGTCCATTGCTATTCTCCTTTCACATGCTTCCTTTAGCTGGTGTTATTCGATCTTTCTCGGGCATTTCATATTAATTTGATGCTGATGACATTCAACTGTACTATGTCTTTTAAGCCTCATCAGCTGGATAGGTTGTCTACCCTAGTTGACTGTTTATCTCATTAGTGACTGGCTTTCCAACAATTACTTTGTTTTAAACCCTGCAAGACTGCCATGATTATAGCTCCTCCTGATATACAATCAAGAATCAGTCAAATGATTGCTTCTTTTTACTTGGTAATTTTGGTGTGATATTTGATTCCTCCTTGAACTTTGACTCAAATATAAAATTTTGCTTAAGATCCTGTTTCTTTTATTTAAGGAGTATTTCTAAATTGCAACCTATAGTTTCCTCCTATGAAATGGGAAAATTTTTTCATGCATTTGTATTATGCGCTTAGATTACTGTAATGCCTTTCATTTTGGCTTAAATCATCTCTGTCACACCTCAAGCAATAAAAAATGCTGCAGACAGATTCCTGACACACTCTCGTTTTATTTTCTCAATATTGGCTCTTGGTTGATATTAAAATTCATTTTAGGAGTCTCACAATTGCATACAGAGCAATAAATAGACAAGCTCCGCACTATTTGTCCCAAACATCTTTTTAAACACACTGCTTGTTGCCTCCATTCACAAGCTCAAAATCTATTAGTTGTACCTCATACGAGAGTGAAGACTAGAGTGGACAAAGCTTCCAGGCTATGGAACAGTTTATCACTCCAGCTCTGTTTAGCTGACACTGTGGAGTCTTTTAAGGAATATTTTTTCCATTTAATCAGGTTTTTTGCTGACTTTCTTTTGTTGTGTGTCTGCTGTGGCAGACATGTGGAGTGGAGAGAGAGTGGACCCAAATGCAGACTTCGGAAATGGACTTTTTTTGAGGCAGAAAAAAACACAAACAAAAGCACAGTAAGAGGCGATCGTGGCACAAGAGTTGGGAGTTTGCCTTGTAATCGGAAGGTTGCCGGTTCGAGCCCCGGCTCGGACAGTCTCGGTTGTTGTGTCCTTGGGTACTACCGCCTACTGGTGTTGGCCAGAAGGGCCGCTTCTGTCAGTCTGCCCCAGGGCAGCTGTGGCTACAACTGTAGCTGGCTCCATCAGTGTGTGAATGGGTGGATGACTGGGTGTGTAAAGCGCTTTGGGGTCCCTAGGGAGGACTAGTAAAAGCGCTATACAAATACAGGCCATTTACCATTTTACCAAGAAAACGACTAAACCTAATCGGGGAGGAAACTAGAAGCAAGTATAAAGAAACTGAAAACCTGAGTCATGGGAAATTCAGTGGGTGATATCCAGACAATCCAGCAACAAACAGAGGAAGACAAAGACTACGTGTACACTAATCAGAATAAATTTGAAAACGGCGTTTTAGTCTAAAAATGCTCCGCGTCCACACTACTGTTTTCAATTGTTTTCAGCCACACTGA